TCCACACTTGTTTCGGTTAGCCGACGTGATTAATTTTAGAAAGGGCTATTCACCCCCCTCTAGTCTGTCATCTCGACCCTACAACTACCCTAGGTTGTCCGGTGCACACCAAAAAGGGCGGTGCCACCCCTCAGGAAGGGTTGCACATTGGGTACAAGTTTGGTTGCGTTCTCCGACCCTCAGACAACCCAAACTTACTCTTTTTTCTCCTTTTCTTCTCCAACTTCACCAAGTTGATCCAAATTAACTCCAACAACTTCTCCTTTGTAAATGTGCCAACACCACCAAGTGTTCACCATCTTGTGCAAGTGTGTTAGCTTTTCACAAACATTTTTCAAAGGATTAGTCACTCAAATCAACACGCCACTTGATCCTAGCAACGATGCAAAGTTAGATCACTTGAGTGGCACTAGATGACCGATATGCAAACAAGTTTGCCCCTCTTGATAGTACGACCATTTATCCTAAACCTGGTAATAAACTTCTCTACACACATATGACTGAAGAAATAAAATGTCCTATAGGTTATACCTTTGCCTTGCGCATTACATTCCATCTCCTCCAATGTCAATGCAACACATGCACCAACAAGATCACAAATGATATGATCCACTTCATATCATCATGTGACTGTATTAGTTCATCGATTTTGACCTCACTTGCTTTTCACCATTGCCTTCATCCATCGATGCCTAGTCTTGCTCAAGCTTTACCGCCACGCGGTCCATCGCTCCAAAGCCTCCAGCTTGCCCTTCACGTTTGCAATTGGTCCATCAAGCCAAGTCTTGTCTTGATCTTCTCCACCTTAGTGTCGGCATTTGATGACCGGCAACCCATCATGGGGGTACCCCGGACGGTGTTCGGTGGGCTTCGACGTACGCAGAACTCGACAGTAAACACAAAGAGACGAATGATTTATACTGGTTTGGGCCCTCTTGTTGAGTAATAGCCTTTACATCTAGTCGGCGTGTAGCCTTTTGAGTTGGATTGAAGCCGAATTCTTGAGTCCGAGTGGAAAACGAACTGGGTCTTTGAGTTGGACTTCAGATGGGATCTCCAACCTGGACAAAAGTCACATGTCCGAGTGGGAGTCACGGTTGATGGTGACCTCCTAAGTTTGAGTTGAATCAGAAATTGAGAGGTGCGAAAACTTCTCGGCGAGTTGATCTAGTGTGATCGTCGAGACATCTGGTGAAGCTTGAGGCGTCGAGATCTCCATGAGACAACTTTGGAGCTTGCCATTATCATCTGCCTTGCAGATCCAGGAGCCGAAGATGAAGGTGGTTCCTACCGAGAAAATCATGTTGTCAAGGTCCGCCAAGCTCTCGATCACAAAGTCGCCGAAAGCCCCTACTTGGCTCGCTAGCTGTCGGTGTTTGATGACCGGCAATCCATCATGCATACCCGGGATGGTGTTCGGTGGGCTTCGGCGTACGCAGAACTCGACAGTAAACGCAAAGAGACGAAGGATTTATACTGGTTCGGGCCCTCTTATCGAGTAATAGCCTTTACGTCCAGTCGACGCGTAGCCTTTTGCGTTGGATTGATTGTATGATTGTTTGGATTACAAGGGGGGTGCGTCGTACCTCTCTTTATATAAAGGAGAGGGTAAGGGCACGTATCTAGTCCTAGTTGGTTACAAGAGAAGAGTCCTAGTTCTATTACAGAATCTAGCTTTCATAGTAAGCCGACTAAGTTGATCTGGAATAGCTTAAAGTCCACGCCACCTTGTCTCGCGTCCTTCAAAAGATTGTGGGCCATCCTAGGGCCCATCCGGGTAGAACTCCCATGGGGAACCCCTAGGACCCTAATCTGTCAAGCCCTCGAGCGTGTCATGGTTGAACTCAGAAGCCTTCTTGCTCCTCCTGGTCTTGCCGAGTAGAAACAAGTGTAATCCGAGTGCTTTTGAGAGTGAAGCCATGAGGTGCTCTATAAAGCCTCCGAGTGACGTGCACTTTTTAAGAAAGTGCACTCACTGAGTGTAGCCCCTGAGCCTCTTGCTGTTTGCAAAACAAAGAGTTAGAGGCTCTAAAAGAAAAAATATCCATAGGGGATGTGTACCCTGTAGCCCCTGAGCCTGTGTCCGAGTACTTGTACTCAAAACAAGGATCTAAAAAGAATATACTCAAGGATGAGAGTGCCAATGAAAATTATTGCCCTGTCTGCTTGTACAGAAGCAGGAAGGACCTATCAAAGTCACATGCAAAGCTTTAGTACTGTTGGTCCAAAGAAGCTCAGTATATCCGTGAGAATATGCCATCAAAGATGCTACCGGGTGTACTGTATCTTCACATGTGCTGGAAAAAGGCTGCCTGTACACTGAAAGGTGTACTAGGACACATTGTACCCTTGTAGTGTAGCACGTGAACCTGTGTAGGAGTCAGTAGTTTGTCTGTGTATTCCGTGTGAACCTGGTCTATAGACATCGTCAAAACGCCTATAAAAACCCCCTGGCAAGCACTTGAACCTCAGTTGTAGAAGAAGCAAAGTGGCTCAGAGTTTGTAGCTTGCAAATATGGTGGTGAACGAAGTAGACCAGCCCCTGGGAGTACTCGGTTGGCATAGCCAAGAGCTGTAGCGACTAGAAGAATTCTTGTGAGAGGGTTTAGAGGTAGGCTAAACTCGTAGTTGTGCACAGTAGAGTAGTCTGGATCTGCAACTAGAAGAAATCTTATGACGGCTGGTGGGGTAGCACATCCAGCAGTCCCATGTCAGTTCTTCTAGGGTACCTATCGACGTCTGTCCATGAAGGGTCATACCCGGACCTGAATGTGTACAGATGGCATCGGTTGGGTGGCAAGATGTGCGAGTAGCTCATCCTACGTACTAGCCTACATGCTTCCTGTTGCAGTAGCTATGCTCCCAAGGGTAGGCGGCCAACAAATGTTCGTAACCGGACAGTCTACCCAAGGTTCTAGGCTAGGACACACTACATTTCTGTTATCTACCTGGATGCATGACTCTTCCCTTGGATCTAGGTGCATCGAGTAGAAAAGTACCTTTTGAGAAGCACTTAGAGTATGAGTACTCTGTTATATCCGAGTAGGCGTGTCTTTGTTATTGACTGAAAAAATCTTGTACTGAGTGATCTTGAATCGTGTAAAGTGTTCAACTTTGTATCCATGGTACTGTTGTTGAATAAAAAATCATCATCCGAGTACTGCGCTGTGTAGTACATACTATCAAGCAATTGTCCAAGTACTGTAGAATCATCCGGGTACTACGCTGTGTAGTGCATACTGTCAAGCAATTGTCCAAGTACTACAAAATCATCTGGGTATTGCACGATGTAGTCGTGTAAATAATAGTCGTATCATGGCTGGTACCCAGACGGAGGAAATCCAATGAATAAGTCTAAACACATTCTGATGCGTGGAAAATCAAGAAAAGGCATGCAACCGTCGTATCAAACCGCGCAGCGTCATTAAAATGGAAGAGAAACTGAAACGCTGCGCCTGTTGGCGTGATTATCGGGTCGTGTGGTAGTGGAATCCCTGTATAAAAGGTAACGACCCTATGCGTCTTCTTCCTCCATCGCATTCCGTATTCTGCTTAAGTCCCCGTGCCTGCTGTGAGCGCCGTCTCCCTCAAACCCTAGATCTAAAAAAGAGCTCTGCTTGATGGGTAAGGGCAAGAACCCGAGTGCCACCGCCAAGAAGGTTGCCGAGAAGAGGGTGTTGGAGGTGTCGGAGATGGCCGCCGCCTCCTAGATCTGGCCAGCGCCAAGCACAAAGCCGAAGCACCTTCAAAAGCTTTGTGATCAGGGCTACCTCCCTGACTAGAAGCATGGGAATGGAAGGCGCCTGGTGAACACCACATTCCCAATCTTGAGCCGTGTGAAATTGTGCTCTTTATTCTGTTCATCCAGCATGGGTTAGGGTTGCCCGCTTGTCCATTTTTACATGGGTTTTTGCATTACTACGGCATAACCCTGAACCATCTGAACCATAAGTTCATCCTGCATCTGTCGATTTTTGTTCATCTTTGTGAAACTTTCCTTGGTATTCCCCCCTCCATCACTCTTTTTCTCTATTTCTTCAAACTGAAAGCGCACCCGGATGCTGCAAATCCAAGCGTTTTGGGGGGGTGCTTGTATTCAATTTCGCGTGGGGAGGAAGAACGAGTATATCCACTATACCCTGGTGGATTCTGTGAAAAATTGGAGACCCGAGTGGTTTTATGCGGGAAACATGTGCCCCCCTAGAAGTCCATAGCGACACCGTGCCAGTGCCCAACAATCATTGGGATAAGGAGACACTGAGTGCGACGGAACTTGAGGGTATTTGTCCTTTCCTCAAGCAAATCCGAGCCATGAAGGACCAAGGCCTTAGTGGAGTTGGAGTAGTTGCCAGCTTCATTAGACGCCGAATACAACCTTTGCAAGAGAGGATCCACTATGGGTTCAAGTACACCGGCCTAGAGGACCCAGCCCGGGTAACCATTGATGAACTAACGGAAGGTGAAGTTCTAGAGAGAATTCAGAACGTGCTTGTGTCGGTACAGGTGATACCATACCAGTACTCGGAGCATGATCATCAGAATCCGCTAGCCATAAGTATATTGACATTATAATTTGTAAATATCTTAATACTGTGGAAAACTGACTCCTGTGTGTTGATTGCAGGAGTTGGGGCGGAATTTCAATGATTTGCCTGCCTGTCCTCCGCGTCCTGATTTTAGAGGAGTTGGCGGGAGCGGAGCGGCATCTGGCGGAGCAGCCAGAGGAAGTGCCGCCTCCGCCTCCCTGTGGACTGGGAAGCCACGAGCGAGTCTGAAGATAACACGGATGTCGTCATAGTCCAGGCAATCCCGAGTGCCAGGCAGGGAGCCGTAGGATGACAATTCATAGTTCAGCAACCAACACCACATCGGGTTCCAAACAAATCATAATCATAAGAGAAGAAACCCAAGAAAGAACAAATTGACAAACTAGTGCCGGATCAAACCCGAAAATCCTCGGCTCTCACGCAGAACTCTGACTCGCGCGTAGCGCCGCCTTCCTATGTGAGCATGATATCAATCGTGTCGCCGTCTTCGAGGCTGACCTCGTCGGGCGTCTGGTTGGGCCGGATGTAGCGGCCATGAGGGTCCAGGAACAGGACGGCCTTGGGGTGGAGCGAGTGCTTGCCGTAGTACATGTCCATGAGCCGCCGCAGCTTCACGTCGCACTTGATGCGGAAGAAGACGTCATCCGCGGTCAGGCTGTGCACCTTGATGTTGATGAGGGCACCGCCGTCCTCACCCGCCTCGGCCTTTAGCGTCTTCGTGGCCATACCCGGACTCTCCTCCTCAGCTCCCTTACGCCTCTCCTCCTCGTCCCCGTGCCCTACGTTGGACGGCGACGGCGGCGGTGGCGGCGTCGACATTGATCCTCCCTCCTCCTCTCTCTCTCTCTCTCTCTCTCTCTCTCTCTCTCTATATATATATATATATATATATATATATATATATATATATATATATATATATATATAGCCTTTACTCTAGATCTTATAACGGTTTCCAGGAGGTTACAGGAGCATGAACCATTCGCGATATTATAGAAAATCAAAAGTGAGAGATGACGGAGAAAATGGGTGTGGTCTTAGCTCTAAACTGCCTTTTTCAGATAAAACGGCGTGAACATCGGACGCATGGGGAAGAGGATTGATTCGCGCTGAGCCGCGTAGGAAGGCACACTTCCTCCATACCAAAATAAATAACTTCCTCAAAAATTTCTGATAAATTAAGAATGCTGTCAAAAACACATCTATCTATGGTTCCTTTTCTTCTACAGATAATATCTTCTAGATTTGACAGTTAAGAATGCTGTCAAAAACACATCTATCTTTGGTTCATTTTCTTCTACAGATAATATCTTCTAGATTTGGCAGTTATTGTTTGCGTGCATCCGTGATATACTTTTCAGTTGATATAAGAGTAATTGCAAAAGCCACTTTATAAGTTTATATCCTTCCTTATTGATAATCCTTCCTTATTAACAGGAAGTTAGATATTTTGGAAAAAATATCCTTCAATAATTTTTTAAATTAGATCTCCAAATATAAAGTACGAACATACTCTCTCCGTCCTGGAATATAGTGCATGCCGGTCATTCTCAAACAAAATAAGATAGAGTGCAATAGACACATGTAGTCCTCACTTAACTTCCTAATATATTGAAATTTGATTCTATTCCGTATGATTAAAGGGTGAACTCTCAGTCTCCTTGTACAAAATATGGTAGGTACATAAATTACTTTCCTAATACAAAATAATCATGTATTTTTATTTAGGTAAACGTTATCTTATAGTTCTCCGAATGCACTATATTTCAGGACAATTTTTAAATGCTAGAATACACTATATTTCAGAGCGGAGGAAGTAGAGCGGAATTAACCCTCCTAAAGTACGTACAAAATATAAAAAAATATTGGAAAGTGATCTTTATTCAAATGACTCTTCACTCTAAATGAAGATTCCCAGAGTGAGTCTAAGAAAAGTCGCCTGCTTCTTCGTCTGTAACCGTTCCATTTGCAAAAGGTGATTGGCTTATGACCGTCACCTTTGATCAATCATTTGATCAGTCACTAGTGGCGTTTCTCAGATAGTACTCCCATGTTGCCTATTTTAACTTTTACCCTTCCTTGTTTATCATCGTGTCTTTGTAAAATCATGTTCGATTGTTTCTTCCCTTCTTTATTAATTGCGTGGATGCCAAATCATGTTCGTTTATTTCCTTCATTTAATCACGTGAAGGCAATATTACCTTTATTTTATTTCCTTAATTTTTTTCTCCTAATCGCTTGTCGATTTCAAATTTTCTTTCTCTTAGAGCAACTATAACAGGAGTGCTCAAATCGGGGCCCATATTTTTCACTTCATGGCTCACTCTAATTTTGAGGGCCGATTGAGCTATGCACATCTGGAGTAGTCGAGACTCGGGAGGGTTGCCAGTAGGAGAGGAACTATGCGTGAGTCGCCAAGAGGACGAGCCATGGTTGGGGCATCTCATCGGAGGAGACGCACCGGTACCGCCCACACGCTGCTCTCTTGACATATCTACCTCGCCTGACCCAACTGTCGGTGGTCCTCGCCAACTGGTGCGACGGGGAGAGGGGGACGTAATAGGGGGTCGCAATGGGTGGTGCTGGACAAGCGGTGGCAAAGAGTGCCGCACGAAGAGGGTGACTACAGTGAGGTCACGAGGAAAAGTATCCCGTGCGCAGACAACGTTTTTCGCAGACAACGTTTTTCGCAGGCAAGAGGTGGCACGTCGAGAAGTTTTGCGCGGGACGGAGGAAAACATAAGACCGTAGGATGGAAGCCGGATGGAGAGCCCCTAGGAATAAGGACTAAAAGGCTTGATTTGAGAAGCCTCCTATTTTGGGGCACCAAGTAGGGGCCTCGTAGACCTTGTTAGAGTTGATCTTAGACCTGTCTCAGTGGTGAGTTTCATAGCATTGTTTCCAAGACTGCCGTGTCATGTAACATAAAATGAAACATCCACTCTCAATAGAAGTCTTATTTTATAATTATAATTTTATAGACATCTAATTTCATGACTCATAGAGAATTGGTAATCGTGCCAAGAAAGTTTTATCCCCATAAAACTCATTTTCTCTCTCTCTTCCTCAAAACGTTGTCAAATCATCAAAAACGCTTACGTGACAGCTTATTAAATATAAATAAAACTCTGATAAAAACTCATATTGAGACTGGCCTTAGTCTAAGTATCTAATATGGACTTACTCGCAGCACCGTGTAGGAGGTCTCTATTAGGGTCGACCCTGAGGTGGGCAGAGGGGCTACTGCCTACTGGCCTATGCCCCTGAAGCCCGAGGCCTCTGACATCATATAGAAATGTAAATAGTTAGGTTTATTTATCTTAGCTTTAATTTTTCTATATATTTCAGTCTATATATAGACTACAAGCAATAATTTAACACAAGTCTTCAAAACATAACATAACCTATGGTCATGAGTATGAGATTGGACATCTTCCAAATTTGATGCGAGACGTGGCTTGAACGTAACTCGGTTGGTTAGGCTTTCTAGCTTATGATCAATTTAACTCTAGAGCATATGTTCTGCTCAACAGATGTGTAGTAATAAAACATGCTATTATTTTGTCTACAACTAAAATTTTTAGAAAAATCATACTCTTGTTGAAATTTCAAAAAATAATTGGTGAAATTTCTCGAATTTCAATAGTTTTAGGTATGGCAAAAAAGTGTGGCACATCATAAACGGATAGTTTATGAAAAAAAGTTGTTATCACTTATGAGTTATACATAATAAGCGCGAGAAATAATTGAGGATCGAACTCTATGTCTAACTCAAAAGAAAAATAGATCTTTTATAAACATTGTTATGCATCTAATACTTTAATTTGACTTTTACTTTATAGTTTTGCACTAGGAAGCGTTTGAGAGATGAACATTGTTTTTTATTATAATTTTTAGGCATCTAATACTTTTTTGTATAACATATAACACTTGAAATTTGTATTAAGAAACCTACACTCTTTGTTCCAATTTATAAGACATTTTGGATTTTCTAGATATATTATTTTTATTTTAATCTAAATATAGTGTATATCTAAGTACATAGTAAAATCTATGGGTCCGATGGTTGTCTGCATTAGTCTTAACCTATATTAGACCTTATGCAGCACAACCTAAGCCAGTATAAACATATGCAGTGCCTTCATATTTGGTTCTCACGCATAGGCAAGTCGTGTCTGATAAAACTATATTTGTTTATTTACATTTTATTGCATATAGTCACCTTATATGTTCTATTAGAGATCTCATGTTTCTAGTAAAGATAGAGAATGTGAAAATATTTTATTTTGGTATGTCTATCGGCTTATGCAAATTTGAATTGTCTAATAGAAAAATCTGGTATACTAGCTAATGATGCATTGGTCTGCTTTGAGCACTATACAAGCCTGCATAAGAGCCACTGCAAGCAACTAAATATGGGCAAATTACATTACACAAGCCCAAATACAAGCTAATGCAGACAACCAATCAGATCCTATGCATTTAGAAAAATAAAAATGTCTTAGAATTTAAAATTGAGGGAGTATATTTTTAGTGTAGACTTGAGGTGCTCACGGCCAGCTCGACGCTTGGACTGTTGTCGATTGCACACATTGTGGACTCGGCTGCAGACAATGGTTTTCTAAACACTAAACGGTAAATAATCATTCACCGACCGTTCAGCTATTGTTTGGATTAAATGGTCCATTAAACAGTCTAAGCAGCCAATTAAACTGAATAAATTGATGATTAAATGGAAACGACATATCACCATGTAGCGTTTGCACAATGTTTAAATAGGCTAAACGGACGTTTAGATGAACAATACATGCAACATACATGATTCAATTTGTTCGAACAAATCAAATTCATCAAATTTATTGTATATCACTTTATATAAAGGCACCAATTTTACCTCGTTGTCCATTATAAATGCTACGTTTATTGTTTCTCCCGTTACAATTGCAACACACGAACATATTTATCGGTCCTAAAAAATATTAAGCATGATTTTGAGAAATATTTATACCTTCCTAGTTATTGAACCAGGTTTCACAAATTATCGAGTTTGTCTTTTAAAAGATGTTGAATTAGTTTCTTGAATAGTTTGAATGCGTGCAAAAACAATGAAATTTATAAACAAAAATCGAGCATAACTTAGCTAGATATGTTTCTTATGGTGGAACCTATCTATTTTTATATGAGTTCAAATTCTTGATTTGACATGGGAATTCTATTTTCCTGGATTCATTGTAGGATTTTAATGGCACTATTCCTTCAGTGATAGGTGGCGACACGGCGTGGTCACTGATAGTGAGATTACTGCGTACATGTATTCATAGGAGATAGTGTGTACATGTATATGCGCGTCTATATTGTGTGATTTTATTTGAAAAATAGATGAAAACTAGCAAATATGCCCGTGTGTTGCAACGGGAAGAAAAAACTACCAAACTTTAATAAAAAATTAGGATAGAAATGTTACATATCTATTTTGTTTTTTAATATTTTTATAAAATTTAAAAATTATAATTTATTTTTGGATCGCTATGATATCCACAATATAATGGTGCATTTGGTGCATGTCCATGTCAAGTGCTCCCTGCCAGAGCTGGAGGCCTACCGATAGCCATTTTTAGCGTTGGCTCCGGGCACCTAAACGGTTCTAGCTTCGTGTATAGGAGGGCAAAAATGCTCCACCGTACCATCTCGTTTGGTGCGGCTTCGCTCGCTTCGGTGCCTAAGCCATACACGGAGCAAGTGCAGGAGTCGCACCAAACTTGCCCTATGTTAATATTAACACTAATCTTGATAGATTTCCCCCCTCCATTATAAGGCACGGAAATATTTATTACCTATAAATATATCATAACTTAAATTTTCATATTATGTATGTGTTGGTAGAGTAAAATATTAAATTCCATGATTTCTTTCTTTTTTGAAGACCATATAATAAACATAAAAAATAGACAAAATTATGGGTGAGCGAGGAAAAAATAGCCAAGATGGAGTCGTCTCAAGAAAACCATAAAAAATCAAAAGATTCAAATCGGGAAGCTGTAAAAAAAATAGAAGAGTCGGCTTTGGTAAAAGCAGCGATCGAAAACAACAATATTCAACATATAGGAAAATCATAATAATAAAAGTTCAAAAGAGTAAGCTTTGGAAAAAAACGGTGATATAGAGATATAGATTGCTTGGAATATTTGATTTTTGTTCTGTAAATCATGGTTGCATACTTGCATGCCTACGTGATCGGCTGCTCCTAACCTCCGATGGTGGGCCTAATTGGGCAGGCTGCTTTGGGAAAAAAAAAATCTAAAAAACAACGTAGAAATGATATATATCTATTTATGTTTTATACTTTTTTTATAAGATTTCAAATCTACAATTTATTTGTGATGACCGACATCCATAAGTTAATGTTGGCAATAATATGATAATATTTTATTAAACCCGTGTCAAATTAAAATACAACCTTCACAACTTTTTTTCTCTTGTCGCAAAACATTTAAACATAAATATATAATAGATTCATTTTTTATATTATCCAGTGTTGCTATACTTAAATATGGAGCTCCTGGTTATCTCTGAGAACCCATAAAATATGTAATGCAAATATCTATTTAAAGTCAGTAAGATGTTAGTTGCTCATGTGCCGAGAATTCTTTTATTCGTCGATGATTATGACGAGAGACCTCTCAATTTTTTACATAGCAACCCTCGATAGGGATTGTAGAGACAGATTTATTTCGACAAAATTATGAACGAACCCGCTTAATATTTTAATTCACGGATTCATTTGTTGAACCATTGGCTGATTGTAACAAAATAAGTCTTTCTTCTAATCAAAACTATATCATTATATTGATGTACTGTATTTATATTTGTTCTTGATGTTTATTAGAAAATTAAAAAAAGCATCGGCCCAAAAGAAAAGGATAGAAAAACAAGCTAAAAATCAAAACCAGAAAACTAATCGAAACAACAAAATACCGAAATGTTATGGGGCAAAAAAAAAACCAGCCGAACAAAATGGAAACAACCGGGAAAAAAAGGGAACAAGTTAAGACCGAGGAGGACACGGAAAACAAAGGAAAAAGAATCAGGAACATGAACACCAGCGGACGTGCAAAACAGAAAAAAGCAGGTACGCGGAAACGGATTAGGCAGAAAAAATTAGCGCCAGAAATTTTGCCTATTAGGATTTGGATTGTACCTGTCCAGATTACTTAAAAAGGCCTACACATGTTATTATATATACATAATAGGAGAGTTGTAGAGAGACGAAAAGAAATAATTTTAATATTCACAGAGTTAGTCAGATGAGGGCATACCAAAAAATGGGTAGGTATAGATATATGTAAGGAACTCTTACATGTGTTTGTAATCTATATCTATATCTAATATTAAAGGAATAAAATTTCTCTCCATCTAATTTTTTTGTCCGGTTATCCCTTAACTAACTTTATGAATGTAGAAAACCACCTATAGCCCTTCTCTTTATATAACTAGGAATCCAAATCCAATTAGATCTCTCCGATTTTAGGTGAATATGAATCTTAATCAAAATAGGAAAGATATAATAATATGGACAGCTATGAATCTTAATCCAATTAGTTCTCTTCAACTCCGAGTAACCGGAATATGAATCTTAATCCAAATGCAAAAAATATAAGAATGGAAATCTAATAAAGAGGAAAGACGGTCTTTGTTTTGTTTCTTTTCTGTTTTTTGTTCTCTTTTTCTGATTTTGTTTTCATTATTTTTTGTGGTTTTCTCCACCGGGTTTTTTTGGGTTCTAATAAATATAATAAGAGTAAAAACAAACAGTAAATAAGAGACCACAACCATTTTAATCTTTGACATCTTAAGGAACAAAGATTTTTATTACTAATTTAATTTAATTTAATTTTTAACTTGAACTCATGACCCGTGCTATAATTCACTCTCGTCCAATAATGATATGATATCTTAATCCAATATATACCGGACCCGTTGCATTGCACAGGCACGTTTGTCAGTAGAAATAAAAAGTAAACCAACGAAAATGAGAAGAAAAGATTAAAGTTTCATGGGCCCTAATCCAGTAATCCTAGAGGCCTTTTTATTTCAGCCGGGGTATAGAAGTCACCAAGGCCCGCGCACCTGACACGTCACTCCCACCAACCCACTTCAGCAGGATGCCAGGATCACTTCCACTCCGCGGCTCCCCCTTTGCCCTGTGACTCCGCGACGAAGCAGTGCCGGCCCTAAGGGTAGGACAGGAAGTGCGACGGTCGAGTGGAGAAGGGGTCTAAACTTACAAATCTCTAGATCTTATAGTTTATTAGATATTAGCAAACTAATAAGAAGATAAACATAGAACTGGCTAGGTGACAAAAAGACAACCAGCTCGTTCGGCTGGTAGGCCGCACAGTGAATTTTTCATTATTTTGGATGATTCAATAGTATTCTGTGAGGGAGAATAAGCTAAAACAAGCGGGAAGTAGTACAGCCGAACACGGTGAACATCGGCATTTGTTTTCTAGTTTTCTTTTCCCACGGCCCTCGGTTAGAGAGGAGGCGAGGAGTCACGCTGCACACAGCACACTCTGATCGCAGGTTCGCGACATGCGCCTTACACACGCGGATCTGGCGAGCCGCGCCGTCGCGAAGAGCTAGACTACTGGAGACACAGACATGGCGCATGATGACGGTAACTAGGCAGGGCTCCACCACGACAACATCATGATTCTTGGCTTCTTACGAATTGCGATCACCGATTAGTTGTTTAGGCCAAGGTATTTTTTTCCTTTTTATTTTTAATCCAAATTAATTATTTGTATAGTATTCTAGGCTTCTAGTACTTTGTGCTCATATAGTCATATTTTTCTTCTAATTTAGCTATTAGAATTTTAGAATGTTACCTAAGAAATATTTGTCACATATGAAAAAAGAAAAAATATATATTATTTTTTTAATCTATATTATTCATCAATAATTATTATACATCTATAAATATATTACTTAATCTACATTGTTCCTTAATAATTATCAGATGTATTAAATTAAAAATATGTTATTGAATTTATTTTTGTTTTATAAGTAAAATTAGTGTCTATGTATTATAAAATTTTATACACCATTGCGACGAGATGTCAGATTGCCCTTAAAATTCCTAGGACCGGCACTGCGACGAAGAGAAACCATGACGCCTCCCGGCCAACTGCTCCCCTTGGCCCGGCTGCCTCCGCTGCCTCACGTCCTCTCCAGCCACCGCAGCCGGTGCCCGCCTCCCGCCCACGCGCACGCCGGAGTGTCGCCTCTGCCTCCATGGCGGCCCCACCGCCTCCATGGCCGCTTCGTGCCTTCTCCCCAGCTGTTCCGGGCTCCAGCCTGGCCCCCTCGTACTCCAACACCTCCAGGGGTTTCGGCGGCCGCAAGAGGCGAGGCTCAGGCAGCTGCGGTGGCGGAGTTCGTGACGTCGGAGAGGGTGAAGGTGGCGGCGATGCTGAGGCTAGCCCTGGCGCTCTGCAACGCCGGCCGCGTTGTCATGTCCATCACCATCGTCCCTCTCTCGCAGGCGTACGGGTGGACCCCGTCATTCGCCGGCGTCGTGCAGGTTCCCAGTTTTCTGTTATTCTGCACAATTTTGTTTGCTTCGTCTGCGCTAGGGGCTACTGACTAGCCATTCTCATTGAAGTTTCTGGTTTTCAGAGTGCTCAGTTTCAGTAATCAACGTTTTAATGATGTGGTGTTCGAATAATTGATTGAATTGATTAATTTTAAGTGAAAGCGTTCTTACATGGCTCGAGTCTCGAAATGACATGTCTGCAATGCCATATTTAGGGCACGTTTAGTTCGCGAAAAATTATAGGTTCAGCTACTGTAGCATTTTCGTTTGTATTTGATAATTAGTGTCTAATTATGAATTAATTAGGTTTAAAAGTTTCGTCTCGCGATTTCTCACCCAATTGTGTAATTAGTTTTTTTTCGTCTATATTTAATGTTCCATATATGTGTCCAAAAATTCGATGTGATGAGTAAAAACTAAAAAATTTTGGAACTAAACACGCCCTTAGTTCATTTGCTCTACAAACATAGCAAAATACTATAGTCGACAAGGTTTGAATTTTCACTAGAAAGCTGTCTAGCACTCATATTTCCTGCTTATTTCTTACTCAGGCTGCTGTAGTGAAGTAAATTACGAAAGATTACACATAAGAAAGTAAGGGCATGAGTTTGCCCATCTTGTTTGATGAATATCCTGATGCCATTGTGTTGTTGGCACTGCAAACAGTCATCCTTTCTTTGGGGATATCTGATGTCGCCAATAATTGGTGGAGCGTTTGTTGACTACTATGGTGGAAAGCGAGTCATGGCTTACGGTATAGCCTTATGGTCCTTGGCTACATTCCTGTCTCCTTGGGCAGCTGGTCGATCTATCTGGTTGTTTCTCTTTACCAGAATCCTGCTGGGTCTTGCAGGAGTGGCACTCCCAAGCATGAACAACATGGTGTTGAGGTATCTACCTTTGTAACATTATTCCTTTTGATTACTTCATCTCCAACTTTTTCCCCACAAAAACATATTGTTGTTTGGCTGTGGGGATTTCTGCTAAGATTTATGTAAGTGTTTGTATTAGCCCTTTTATTACAGGTGGTTTCCTCGCACAGAGAGATCTAGTGCTGTGGTGTCGGGGATCAATATTAGGGTACCCGAAGAGGAGGAGCTAATAACCATCAACGTTGATTCATCCGAGCGGTCAAGAGCGCGACTACACCTCTTGCTGGGCTCTGCCTCGTCTGACCACTGAGGCCATGGGCTCTGCCTCGTCCGACCCCCGAGGGTTGGCTCCGCCTCGGTGGACACTGAGGCCGCGGGCTCCGCCTCGCCCGACCACCTAGGGTCGGCTCCACCTCAACTGACTCCTAAGGGCTGACTCTGTCTCGTCCAACCCCCGAAGGTTGGCTTCGCCTCGCCCGACGTCTAAAGACCAGCTTCACCTCGCCCAATGTCCGAGGGCTGGCTCCGCTTCGGTTGACGTCTGAAGGCCGGCTCTGCCTCGTCCGATGTCCGAGGGCTGGCTCCGCCTCGGCCGACCCCCGAGGGTCGGCTTCGTCTCGGCCGACGTCTGAGGGCTGGCTCTGCCTTACCCGATCCATCGGACACGGTTCCAAACGAAAGCTCACGTCGTCGCCAACCACTACGGGCCTGAATGTACTACTCAAGGTTAAACTTCTGGCATCGTGCAGGAAGCGGTCACATCTCAGCATGACCTGTCCCCACGACATGTCATTCCGAGAAACTTACATCGCCCACAGTGACGGACGCGTGGTCATTGTGCTGCCAACTCCCTGACCACCGTCCAACGTCAGTCAACCGGCGTCAGTTGACTGGCACTATACCGCTAGCTCCCCGCATGGCTTATGTCAGGGGACCCTCTGACCATTCCGTCCTCTCGGATGGGACAGAAGACAAGATTGGCGTGCGACGCCCGCACGTAAGCTGCAGCGGCCAACAGGACCCCGGTACGATGCCACTGCCACCACGATCTACAGGGTCAGCGGGACCCACGCGAAGAGGAGGACGGTGCACCTCCGGGAGCTTTATTTCTCTTTCCTTTTTTCTCTTTCCTTCGGTGGTAACCCCTGCTTTCCCTTGACCTATAAAAGGGAAAGCAGGGCGTCCCACTAGGCGGAGGGATAGATCGATTCATCGAACAAACACACCGCATCACACTAGAGACTTGGGACCAGTCCCTCTCTCGCCAGTTTGTAACCCCTACTACAAACTCAATGCTAGTAACACGAGCAGCCCGAAACTGGACGTACGGACATTCGGCCCGAACCAGTATAATCCTTGTGTCTTCTTAGCACACCATCCGCGTCAGACGTGCAATATACAAATTTACTAGCCGGTGCTTACTCGAAACACCGAAAGTTGGCGCGCCAGGTAGGGGATCTTTTGCGTGTTTCGACATTAACACCTTCCAGGGCAAGCGCGTGCGCTTTGAGAACCAAGACTTCATCATCACGATGGAGGGAGAGTTGCTGCAGCTTTCCGTTGCCACACAACCCCTCCTCTTCACCGGCCTCGACGCAACCGCCGAGGTGCGCGAGGAGCTGCTGCTGCCTACACCGGAGGTCCGCGCCCTCGGAAGCCACCAGCTTCTCAGCTTCGACTACGGGAGGCCGCGCACCACGACTACGGTGTGCGAGTGCCTCGAGCTCCACCACGATGCGCGTGACACCCTCGATGCTCGTAGACGCGAAGCACCCTCAGAACAACCCGACGAGGGCGTACCAATCCATCAGGCCCAACAGGAAGGCGGACCGCGCACCGCGGTTCCGGTGCATGAGCGTTTCGGCCTCCACCGCGTCGCCCGCGACACCCTCGACGCCCACAGGCGTGCTTGCGGCTACGCGAAGGAGGGGGCCAGTCACGGCTACCATCCACGTCGTGGCGGACGCTATGACAGCGGTGAGGACCGAAGCCCGAGCCCCGACTTGACGAGACCTCAGGCCTTTGGTCGATAGACCCTCAAGGGTAAGGCAAAGCGAGACGAGGACGCCGACGAATGCGCCTCCAAACCTCCCAACAAAAGGAAGAACAAGCGGTGGCGTAGGAGCTCGCTAACGGCCGACGCTTACCACATGGAGGGCCGAAAGCCTACGGAGGGTACCCCAAGCCACTTTGAGAAGCTGCTTGAAGGGCCATGTCCGAACCATGCTTTCCCCGTCAAGCACCTGTACAAGGACTGCGTTCTCTTAAAGTGGTTCTTGTCCAGAAGCTCTAACAAGGGGGGGCATAGGACGGAGCCCAGCTAGACGAAGCGCGTGACGTCGCCCCCCGTCGCTCGGCCAAATTTGCAAGGACCGCCATAAGCTCTCCCCACCGTAGGAGGGACCATACGTCATCACGAAGATGCTTCGACCAGGCGCCTACAAGCTCAAGACCATCAATGACGAGGTCTTCATCAACGCTTGTAACATCAACCAGCTATGTCACTTTTACCCTTAATAAACACACACTTTCTCTTATTATTAGTTTCACTGTCGAACTCCCCGATCTTTTGGGACACCCGACCCCAGCAAACAGCGGGAGGTCGGGCCTCACCCGGGGGCTAATAAGGACATATCTATCTGGTAGATAATCTTTACGACCGACCCTTTTTCACGATTAAGACCAAAAAGCGAAGTTTGCGAAAATAAACCCTGAGTAAAACTGGTCGAACCGTGAGGAAACTACGCCCCAGCGGCTACGGCGCCTTTGCTCACCAACGTGAACAAAGTTTCTTTTCCGCACCCTGGACTTTTTTGGCCTTAGCCATGGAAAGGGCTGGTACGCCTTAAAAATCTATCCGCCTAACAAACATTCTCAGTGCCCGACCCCTTTCACGTTAAGACCTAGGAGCTAGGTTTGTGGAAACAAGCTCTGAGTATAACTGGTCGAGCTTTGGAAAACCTACGCCCTAGCGGCTACGGCGTCTTTGCTCACCAGCGTGATCAGAATTGGTTCACCCGCATCCCGAGCTTTTATGGCCTTAACGACAAAAAGAGTCGGAATGCACTAACCTTTTTATACAAAAAGGGGAGAAGAGCTAAAAAGCTATTTGCTATAACAAAATTTAAGTGCTTGTCCATTTCTTACAAGTTCTTCGCCTGTCTTACCTACCTAACTAAATTCTTACGCCGGATGTCCTCATCCTCTATCTCCACAGGAAAACCTTATCCCAGCAGGTAACGCAAGTCAATTAGACGGTCTGACCGACACCGTGAAACGGGTAGGGAGCAGGGGGATGCCCTATGCGGGTTGTGCGACCCCATTGCGAAAAACGGATCTGGATCCTGCTCAATCATATCCGGTAAGAGCTTCCTGAACCCATCACTCTTATCATCAAGGTAAAACATGTGCCTCGGTCGATCGAACGGCTCTAGGAAGCAGCAGAAAGACGAGCGCATGCCTATTCAAATCTTCCCCATGAAGGATCCGTCGAGCGATGGTTCACCTTCAAAGGCTATGGGCCACCGCAGGTAAGTGGGATACGGAGCTAAAAACACTCCTACGGCCCATTAACGCCCAGGAGTTCAAAGGCTGGCCCACTAGTGGGTTCACGGGCGCTCCAGGGCACCCTAGAGTGAGGGGAGGTTAAGGATGGGCCCGCTAGTGGCCAATACCCAAAGCGCGCGGAGCACCATGGGAGTCTTGACCCTCATTTCGAGTCTTGGATGATGCAAGGTCCATGGTTTTTCCCCGAAGAAAGGCATCGAGCCCTCGAACCGGTCGAATGGATCCAGGAACTATATGGACCGGCCACCAAGAATCTAGAGTCATTCACCAGCTGAGCTCGAACCGGGCCCCCGCGAAGGGGATGACGGGGCTCCACTCGAACAAGCCCGTTAACAACTCACCGGGCACCATGCTCCGTCCAGTGAGGAAAGCACAGCACGGCTCAACCCCTTCATTCTAGCGAATGGACGCGTGAGGGACGACGATCTCAAGACAAACCGACCCCCTGACCGGACCCCTGCTCCGCGCGGGGGCTCAGGGGCTCGGCATCGCGAAGAGACCGAATGTGCGGTCGCAAACAGACGACGAGTCACCTCCGGTTGCGGAAACCAAGGGCGAAGTAACGCATGAAACATGGCTGACCCCTACCGAGCCTCACGGGGCTTGGGGCCTCGAGCCGCCCGACCCTAAATTGGGAGACCGAAGTTCGAAGGCCGACCCACGGAGGGTCGGAGGCCGCCTCACGTCAAACAAGAGCCAGGGACAAAACACAGATGAGCCCCAGCGACCTTCGCCCAACCCGCCTAGAAGCGGACATGGTCATCTCAACCTTCTCATTCGATCCTAACTCCCAGCCAAGCCCATAGAGTCCCCATTGAAGGGGCATCTGTTGGAAGGCAGGTTAAGGAGCAGTGGAACAACGGGCCCATCATGAACAACGGGCCTAGATTTCACTCGAACATGCCCGTTAACGAACTCACCGAGCGCGTCACCCGAGCCATCGAGGCAAGTGATGTTAGCTCAACCCCACGGTTGTGGAAACCACGGATGGGGCAACAACCACGGATAGGGCTACGTGCGGGGGCTTGAGAAAAGTTGGACTCGCAAGGAGACCGAACATGCGGTCGCAGAACGATAGCTCGGATCCTAGGGTGGGGGTACGTACAAAAACAAGAGACGTTTTCTCCCACTAATCTCACTATCCTCTCCACAATCTTTAGTGACACCTAACCCAGCAACGGCAAGGGGTCGGATCTCACTTAGGGGCTGATAAGGGTATAGATACACCCTTTCTAAAATAGTCGCCACACTCGACCTCTTCCTCACGTTAAATCTAGTGGCAAGGTCTGCGGAAACAAACGATTGAGCATGGCTGGTTGGACTATGAGAAACCTACGTCCTTGTGGCTACGGCACTCTTACTCACCAGCGCGATCAGAGTTTCCCTCCTACACCTTAGGCCCCGCGGTCTTAAACAAACGGAAAGGTCAAAACCCATGAACCCCTTTCCAC